GCCTGCGCGTCCGGAGCCTGTGCTCCGCAAATGGGAGAGGCCACAACAGTGAGAGGCCCGCAGAACGCAAGGAAAAAAAAAAAAAAAAAAAATCTTCCAACAAACAGAAGTCCAGGACCAGATGGCTTCACAGGTGAATTCTATCAAACATTTAGAGAAGAGCTAACACCCAACCTTCTCAAACTCTTCCAAAAAATTGCAGAGGAAGGAACACTGCCAAACTCATTCTATGAGGCCACCATCACCCTGATACCAAAACCAAAGATACTACAAAAAAAGAAAATTACAGGCCAATATCACTGATGAATATAAATGCAAAAACCTTCAACAAAATACTAGGAAACAAAATCCAACAACACATTAAAAGGATCACACACCGTGATCAAGTGGGATATATCCCAGGGATGCAAGGATTCTTCAATATACGTAAATCAATCAATGTGATACACCATATTAACAAACTGAAGAAAACCATATGATCATCTCAATAGATGTAGAAAAAGCATTTGACAAAATTCAACACCCCATTTATGATAAAAACGCTCCAGAAAGTGGGCACAGAGGGAACCTACCTCAACATCATAAAGGCCATATATGACAAACCCCCAGCAAACATCATTCTCAATGGTGAAAAGCTGAAAACATTTCCTGCAAGACCAGGAACAAGACAAGGATGTCCCCTCTCACCACTATATTCAACACAGTTTTGGAAGTCCTAGCCACGGCAATCAGAGAAGAAAAAGAAATAAAAGGAATACAAATTGGAAAGGAAGAAGTAAAACTGTCACTGTTTGCAGATGACATGATACTATACATAGAGAATCCTAAAGATGCCACCAGAAAACTACTAGAGCTAATCAATGGATTTGGTAAAGTTGCAGGACACAAAATTAATGCACAGAAATCTCTTGTATTCTGATACACTAATGATGAAAAATCTGAAAGAGAAATTAAGGAAACAATCCCATTTACCACTGCAACAAAAAGAATACAACACCTAGGAATAAACCTACCTAGGGAGACAAAAGACTCATATGCAGAAGACTGTAAGACACTGATGAAAGAAATTAAAGATGATACCAACAGATGGAGAGATATACCATGTTCTTGGATTGGAAGAATCAATACTGTGAAAATGACTATACTATCCAAAGCAATCTACAGATTCAATGCAACCCCTATCAAATTACCAATGGCATTTTTTACAGAACTAGAACAAAAAATCTTAAAATTTATATGGAGACACAAAAGACCCCGAATAGCCACAGCAGTCCTGAGGGGAAAAAACAGAGCTGGAGGAATCAGACTCCCTGACTTCAGACTATACTACAAAGCTACAGTAATCAAGACAATATGGTTATGGCACAAAAACAGAAATATAGATCAATGGAACAGGATAGAAAGCCCAGAGATAAATCTGCGCACCTAGGGTCAACTAATCTATGACAAAGGATACAAGAATACACAATGGAGAAAAGACAGCCTCTTCAATAAGTGGTGCTGGGAAAACTGGACAGCTACATGTAAAAGAGTGAAATTAGAACACTCCCTAACACCATACACAAAAATAAACTCAAAATGGATTAGAGGGCTTCTCTGGTGGTGCAGTAGTTGAGAGTCCGCCTGCCGATGCAGGGGACACAGGTTCATGGCCCGGTCTGGGAGGATCCCACATGCCACGGAGTGGCTGGGCCCATGATCCATGGCCGCTGAGCCTGCGTGTCCAGAGCCTGTGCTCCACAACAGGAGAGGCCACAACAGTGAGAGGCCTGCAAAACAAAAAAAAAAAAATGGATTCGAGACCTAAATGTTAAGACCGGACACTGTAAAACTCTTAGAGGAAAACATAGGAAGAACACTCTTTGTCATAAATCACAGCAAGATCTTTTTTGATCCACTTCCTAGGGTAATGGCAATAAAAACAACAATAAACAAATGGGACCTAATGAAACTTCAAAGCTTTTGCACAGCAAAGGAAATCATAAACAAGACGCAAATAGAACCCTCAGAATGGGAGAAAATATTTGCAAACGAATCAACGGACAAAGGATTAATCTCCAAAACATATAAACAGCTCATGCAGCTCAATATGAAAGAAACAAACAACCCAACCCAAAAACGGGCAAAAGACTTAAATAGACATTTCTCCAAAGAAGACATGCAGATGGCCCAGAAGCACATGAAAAGCTGCTCAACATCACAAATTATTAGAGAAATACAAATCAAAACTACAATGAGGTATCACCGCACACCAGTTAGAATGGGCATCATCAGAAAAGCTAAAAACAAGAAATGCTGGAGAGGGTGTGGAGAAAAGGGAACCCTCTTGCACTGTTGGTGGGAATGTAAATTGATACAGCCACTATGGAGAACAGTATGGAGGTTCCTTAAAAAACTAAAAATAGAACTACCGTACGACCCAGCAATCCCACTACTGGGCATATACCCTGAGGAAACCATAATTCAACAAGAGACATGTACCAAAATGTTCATTGCAGCTCTATTTACACTGGCCAGGACATGGAAGCAACCTAAGTGTCCATCAACAGATGAATGGATAAAGAATATGTGGCACATATATACAATGGAATATTACTCAGCCATAAAAAGAAACGAAATTGAGTTATTTGTAGTGAGGTGGATGGACCTAGAGTCTGCTATACAGAGTGAAGTAAGTCAGAAAGAGAAAAACAAATACCATATGCTAACACATATATATGGAATCTAAGAAAAAAAAATGGTCATGAAGAACCTAGTGGCAAGACAGGAAGAAAGACACAGACCTACTAGAGAATGGACTTGAGGATATGGGCAGGGGGAAGGGTAAGCTGTGAAAAAATGAGAGATTGGCATGGACATATACACTACCAAACGTAAAATAGATAGGTAGTGGCAAGAAGCTGCATAGCACAGGGAGATCAGCTTGGTGCTTTGTGACCACCTGGATGGGTGGGATAGGGAGGGTGGGAGGGAGGGAGATGCAAGAGGGAAGAGATATGGGAACATATGTATATGTATAACTGATTCACTTTATTATAAAGCAGAAACTAACACAGCACTGTGAAGCAATTATACTCCAATAAAGATGTTAAAAAAACTGAGAAAAATGATTAACTTCTGTATATTAAATTTGCATTAAAACAAAACAAAAAAAAGACGCATGCACCCCAATGTTCACTGCAGCACTATTTACAATAGCTACATCATGGAAGCAACCTAAATGCCCATAGACAGATGAATGGATAAAGAAGATGTGGTACATATATACAATGGAATATTACTCAGCCATTAAAGGAACGAAACTGCGTCATTTGTAGAGACGTGCATGAATCTACAGACTGTCATACAGAGTGAGGTAAGTCAGAAAGAGAAAAACAAATATCGTATATTAACGCATATATGTGGAACCTAGAAAAATGGCACAGATGAACCGGTTTGCAGGGCAGAAACTGAGACACAGATATAGAGAAGTAATGTATGGAAACCAACAGGGGGTAAACAGTGGGGAGTGGGGATGGGGGATGTGGTGTGATGAATTGGGAGATTGGGGTTGACATATATACACTAATATCCATAAAGTGGATAACTAATAAGAACCTGCTGTATAAAAAAATAAAATAAAATTCAAAAAAAATTAAAATGATGGTTATAATTCAATAATCCCTATGATCTTATTTAGTATTAATAGTATTAATGTTCTCTGAGTCTGTGCTTTTTGTCTCAGTAACAGAGTTCAATTTCTTTCATTTTGATAGATCCACTTAACCAGGATAATAGTGCGTGGATCAGAAGGAACATGGACATTGGAAGTAGTCAGGTGTAAATCTGAATCAAGACTCTGCTATTGACTAGCTGCGTGGTCTTGTGTAATTCAGGTAACTTGTATGAGCTTCAATTTTCAAATGTGCAAAATGGAATTAAGGAGTGTCAAGATCAAATGAGAAAAATCTAAAGAGTGTATCCTGGAGCTGGTACACAATAGGCACTCCAAAATGGTAGTGAGTATAACTGGATATATGGACAGAAGCTAAGAGAAAAGGTTTGGTAGATGTCACTGAAATTTGTAATCATGGATGAGATCATCCAGGGAGAACATGCAATGTGAGGAAAATGGCTATTAGTAAAACTCTGAGAAATAAAAAATATTTAAAGAGCAGGTGCAGCAGGGAGAATCTGATAACTGAGCAGAAATGAACAAATGTGGAAGAGAATCAGGACAGAGACTTTTTATAGATGCCAGGGAAATAAAATTTAAATAAAAGCATTGACTGGATTTAGCTATGAGAGGCAATTTGTTACATGTTAGTAAAGTGACGTAGAGAGAAGTCAGAATTCTGTGGGTTGAAGGGTGACTGGAAAGAAAGAAAAAGGAGATAGTGACTATTCTGTTCCTTAACTACTGGTTTAAGGCAATTAGGACACGGTGGTTACGATGAAGCAAGAAATTACAGATTGCCTTCTATATGCATTTTACATATATTAACCTAATATAACTCACTTAAGGAAGAAGACTGTTATCTGAGTTCACTGCATATGGAAGTAGCAATGATCACCTGAAACTTTAGTCTCAATAATATTCTATTTTGCATTTGGGTCTGACTGAAAGTTTGTTATGTCTCAGGCTGTAAAATAAAATTATACAAATATGAGGAAGACCACAGGATGAGGTAGGGGTTATGTAGCTTTCCTAAACTGAATTACAGACAATGAGGAGACTGTCAATGTGAAAAACAAGAAGGTATAAAATATGACATAAAAACTAAATAAACATTTTAAATACTTAAATGTATCATACTGAATACTATAGTTAATAAGCATAAAATGCACTAACATTTTAATTCACCTTTTGTTTGATATTTTCTGCCATCCATGGGCTACCAAAATACAGAACCCCATGCTAGGAACATATAATACTCTCTCAGCAACAACAAATCCAACTGGGAAAAAAAGGTTTGATGCAGGAATAAACGGTAATGCCATTAAACAAAGTGCCTACAAAGAAAAAAAAAGACATTTTATTAAATTAAAAAATATATGCACATAAACAGTCAAATCCAAATATTTTATCATTTAATTTGGATAATGTACTGGTGGACCATTTTTAATAATACTATAATGGATACTGACTTAAACATAAAGAAGGACGCTCAAGGATGGTAACAACAAACATGAGGAGGTATGTCAGCAAGGTGGAATGAAGTCTTCTTGAATGCTAGAACTTATACCTAAGGCTCATTCAATTATCAATAAATAAAAAATATTTTTTGAAAATATATCTAAAATAAAAAACAGTAATTTTTATATATCTAACTTATGTGCTTGTGGTAAAAATAAATTGAGAGTAAAACATATTAGGTTTTAATAAAATAAAACTACAAATTGTGGGTTGATAAAATAGCCAAACATATCAGTTTTTATTATTTTACTACTATCTGTAATACTGGAAATTGATAAGGTACGTTTCAGAAAGGACAGCAGACTACTTCTATACATTACTTCAGTGTTACTTTGCATAGTATTCTGATGGGTCACATACATTTAACAGAGACTTAGTATATGTATAAAAATAAACCTGGCCCCTTTAAATCAACAGTCTTTTATTCTATAAGAATTTCTAAAATTCTAACACTGTACACTGTGTTAGGAATAAACATCACAAAATGCTTAGTCTTTTTGCCATTTTGAAAATGGGATGGCATATGGTTTCCAGATTACAAAGCCATTACAAAAGATAAGACACAAATAACTAGCACACAAATAACTTATGGAAAGAAATAAGTTGGTTGTCATTAGGACATCTGTTTCTATGGACATCTGCTTCCATATTTCATTACCCTGATCTGTTTTATAGTTACCTAATGGAATAAACTTCAGAAGTTTGAGAGTCCTCTAACAGTTTGAGAGGAAGGAATGCCTTTTTTATACTTTATTAGTAAAAATCAATGTAGAAATGTAAATACAGTGAAAAGAATACTTTCTCCATGAATCACAAATTAATAACTTGTAATAAAACAAAAGACTGAATCTGAAGAAAAGCACTACCATCAAATTGCTCAGTATCATATCGATTTATATGTCTAAAATTTTAGTGTTTTCTTTTTAATCAAAAAGGTAAAAGATTAAGAGTGCATAATTCACTTTCCACTTCCCAGAAATGCTTGATTTAAAAACAAACAGCTAACTGTGAAACAGATTTGTTTCTAAATACATGATCCTTTAAAAAATATATATTCCCTATTAATTCATGGATGCCCTAAGGCAATTTCACCGGAAAAAATTAAAAAGTTTTAAATTCAGTCAAAGATGCATCACAGACTGATGCGTAAGCTACACACAAAAGAAAAACCATCTCTCAAAAAAATCTACTGGTTTTTGAATGAATAAGAAATGTCTCAATGATTAACTTACTTAGAAGTTCTAATATGCTCTCTATTAATGTATGCCAACCAAGTTTACTGTAACGAACATAATATCCTTCTTCCAGTGATGTAAACTCTCCTTAAAAGGAAGGATGGGGGCTTCCCTAGTGGTGCAGTGGTTATGAATCTTCCTGCCAATGCAGGGGACATGGGTTCGAGCCCTGGTCCAGGAAGATCCTGCATGCCGCGGAGCAACTAAGCCTGTGCACCACAACTACTGAGCCTGTGCTCTAGAGCCCGCAAACTACTGAGCCCACGTGCCACAAGTACTGAAGCCTGCGCACCTAGAGCCCATGCTCTGCAACGAGATGCCACAACGAGAAGCCCGTGCACCACAACAAAGAGTAGCCCCTGCTCGCCGCCAACAAGAGAAAGCCCACGCACAGCAAAGAAGACCCAACACAGCCAAAAATAAAAACAAATAAATAAATTAAAAAAAAAAAAAAGGAAGGATGGCAGTGGAATAAGCCAAGAGTTTGGAGGCAAATCTGTTTCACTTCTTGTTATATAACATAAGGTAAACTATTCATATCACCTTGTGACTTCATTTTGTTATAAATAAATCGGGGATTAATAACTACTTACTAATATTGTTGAGATACATATGACATCTTATTTAATAAGTGCTTAACGTGGTATCTGGTACTTGGGATACTCCTTTGATCTATGTATCTTGTTCAGAGATCTTCAGAAAATTATCACCATTAAAAAACAGCATGTTTAGTTTTATACATATTTTCAGATTATTTTCCATTATAGGTTATTACAAGATATTGAATATAGTTTCCTGTTGTTTATCTATTTTATGTATAGTAGTTTGTATCTGTTAATCCTATACTCCTAATTTATCCCACCCTTCCCTCCCCTTTCCTTTTGGAAGCCATATGTTTGTTTTCTATGAAATTAACACAATACTGTAAATCAACTACATTTCAAATTTAAAAAAGTTTAAAAAAAGTATGCTTAGGACTATACTTAAAGCAGTTATACCTAAGGTCACAAGTGTTCCCTTTTTATACATATAAAACATAATTAATGTAATTAATTAATATGTTTATTTCATTGGCAATATCCTATTTTTCATTCAGCTTGAACTACACAAATCATTATTTTATTTGACAAAAGTCCGTGTATTTACCCACCCCTCCTTTTTTGCCTTTCTTTTAGTTAGAACCCCGGCTTTGGATGTATTCTACCACATATATGCTTCATCTTTATTTATGTGAGCAGCAAAGCACTACTAGAAAGTCCCAAAGCAAAGTAGATTAATATCATCATAAACTCATGATCAACTTCAAGTTGATCCTTAAGACTGCTGAGGATTCCTAGGTTTCTTTGGTAGGCTCACTCCCACTCTCTTTGACTATTTTGAATCTTGACTACTTTTCTCAAAATTTTGACCCATGTCACTTTCAGCAGATGACCACACTTCCAAACTTTCAGAGAAAACTAAAGCGATAAAACAAGAATTCCTTCAATTCTCTGCTACTAAACCTACCAAAATCCACATTCATGGTCATTTCCATCCTTCCTGTAACCATAAGCGGTGTCTCCATCTATCTCAGGCCAAACCTGAGCTCTATACCTCTAACCTCACTATCAATCATCTCTTCTTTCATTTATTTATCACTTTCTTATGAACTTCCTACCTATGTAAAAATGCTCTTGCCTCTCCAACCTTAAAAATCTTCTCTTCTGACAACACATCTTTAAGTTATCTTACCCAATTCATTATGCCCCTTAAGTATAAAACAAGTTCCCACACTCAGGAAAAGATTTTTGGAGCCATGGCAACAAGTAATTGGTTGTAACCTCACTTAATCAACATTTCAACTCAATGAATATGTTTTTGTAAGCCAACCCATTAGTGATATAAACATTTCAACTCAATGAATATGTTTTTGTAAGCCAACCCATTAGTGATATCTCTTTGTGTCAAAAAGAGACAGCCAACTGAGTGCTCCAATGAAAGTGATTCTACATGCCAACCAAGCAATAGTCTTCCCCCACCATCAACCCACTCCAGCCTCTGAAAGTCCATCAATTCCAGATCTCTGTGCTTCCCCCAAGCCCTACAGAAGATCAGCAGTTTATTATACTTGAAGCCCTTGCCTGACTGGCTGTCTTTCCTAAGTTAGGAAATTCAAGCTTGTCTCATCCTTTGAAATATTCAAAGTTAAATCACCCCTACAGGTTACCTACACTAGCAATCTTCACTTCCTCACTTCCTAATCAAATCACTCCACAGAAATAAATTTCATTTAAGTAACTAACATACCTAAAAGAGGTCAAATCCAACTGATCTCACTTCTCTACTTGACAGCAGCTGTTAGTGTTAACCATTCTATCTTTCTTGACACACTTTCCTACCTTTCTGTACATTTCATGTACCTCCCATTTAGGTTCATTTTCCTTTATACGGTATGTAATGTGGAAGTTTTTCAAGACCTAGATATAGGCTTCTTCTCTTTCATTCTATAAAGCCCCTTCAACTATTTATTGAGGGAAAATTAAGACCAAATACTCTAAGGCATGCATTATGTGTATGAATTAACTTCTGTACGCCTAGAACGGTGCCAGCTAGTTACCATCTCTAAGAAAAATGACAAAATCCCAGTTGAGAAAGGCTGCTCTATAACGTCTCCATAGGCCTTCTTCTCCACATCCTGGTTTCAATTACTATCTCTACGGCAATTATCAGGTTTCTCTATGCTAATCAATCACATTTTTATGTGTAGCTCAGTCTTCGCCACTGAACTCCAGGCACAAAGTGCTATTCGAAATCTCTATCATATTGTTTCATAGGTACCTCAAACTCAACAGGTCCAAAAAGAATAGTAAATATGATCTTTTTTCAAATCCTATATTCTTTCAAATCTCTCTAGAATGCAAGTTCTCTAGAAATGGGGACCCTGTATTTCCTTTTATTATCATATACTCAGTGCCTAAAATGCTACCTGGTACATAGGCTGAAAATCAAAATTTTTTATTGAATGAATAAGTGAATCTAGTGGCTGCAGCCAGAAATAATATATTTGCAAAGTACTAAAACCACTTTTTGGCATATAGTAAATGCTCAAGAAAAGTCAAAGATTATTATCTTCTTCCATAATTTAAAGTAAGAGGCAACAGAATTACTATGAGTAAGAAGTGAGGGCAGAGTTAAGAAAATTACAAAGAAACAGATCTCAGAAAAACAAGAAAAGACTTTAATCAGAGTTCTCTGAACACAGTAAGAAATACCTCAGGGAGTAATGAAAGTCTTGCTAATGAAAAATAAAGAGCTATGTATTTCTAGTTGCTTATCTTACTTGACACTCTTCTCTGTGCCAAGAAAACAAAGAAGTATATAATATGACTCATTTCTTTAAAGAGTGTATAATCTAGTTGGGTAAAGGTAAGAAATATATTTAAAAAAATGATGCTAAAAAGAATGCTTCATGATTTCAGAGTTCCCATCAAATTATGGAAATTCATAATCACTCTTTGTTTCATATGCTGAATGTGCAGCACTAGTCAAATTCTGATATATAATTCTAGGATAACCTAAAATAAGTTAATAAATTAGGATGACATGAACAAAGAAAGACAGCAGTTCTTTAAAGATGCTTTTGATGAATTAAAGGCACTCTTAATTAATAAACTGAATATAATATCACCTAAAAATTTAAGAAACTTTCTTACCATTAAAACACTCTTGGAGGAATTACCAGGGTATCTGAGACTGAATACTCCCAAAGCCCCCAAAAAGCAAAAAAAAATAAATGTGGCAAGATTTCGAATATCTAGAAATGACTCTATAAGTGGTATTGTTCCCATGGTCCAATCACAGCAGAGCTCTGAAGGATTTAACAAAAGCCAAGCATTCACAGGAAGGAGGTAGTTAAAAGTTAGCTGCCTTGTAGGAGTTGGGCTTACAGCAGCTGGGTTATCAAACCTGTATAAAGAATGAAAAGAAAAGTTATTTAAACTAAAACATTTTTTAAACACAAAGTTAATATATAACAGATATAAATAAAGTACTGAACAATAATAATAAAAGCAATATTCTACATGTAATCTTGTTAAACCGAAGACAAATATTTTTATGGATATTTCAGACTCTTGCCAAAGTTCAAACTGTCTAACCTTTATGAAATGCCTAGTTGAGAGCAATGATATTTATGAAGAACTGTTTGAAGGGCAAGCAGGTGATCTATTTTTAGTTTATTATTATGATTCAGACATGTATTCTATAATATTATGACATTCTGCAGAAGTGCTTTCATTAAATTATGACCTTCTGATTAAAAGTCATAAGAAAAGTTTTATAAGATTCATTGTTGCATGTGTTTATGAATGCTTCTGAGAACACTAACCAATGTTTTCCTACATGAGACGTTTCTTTCACCACTAAATGCTAATAAAACTTATGCTTCCTAGAAAGAATTACTGTTTTTCTTTTGTCATGAACAGAAAAAACTATATTACCTATGGGCTTTTCCTCTTTGCTTAGACTTCTAGAAAGCTAAAAACCAAATTCCCAGTAGAGAGGAGTAACTGTACCTATGTAACATTTTATTTGTGTTCTACTTAATATAAGCTTATATCCTAGTTTATATAGGCCATGATACATTAAATGTATATTTCATTAATTTAGTCTATTTTCTGCAAATTAAGTCAAATCTTTTTTTTTTAAAGTACATTTAAATGAATCATTTCAGATTTTTATTTCTTTAGGCTATGTTCTAAATTGTATTGGCTATATTAACATATAGTCCTTTAAAAACCCAGTTTCTCATTTTAAAATGAATAAGCCAATGAAAAATCAACCTCTACTACTTATTTGACTTGGTCTTCTTAAAAATATCAAATGGTTGAGAAAAAGTACACAATTTTGGAACGAATGATATTTTCTAAACTTTCATATTTGAATATATACATATATGAAAAATACTAAGTCTTGAAAGTCAGGACTTGAATTCTCAAAATAACCAACAGAACTGAATACAAAGCTTTTCCCCATAATCCACTTTCAGAGTTCATTTAAAAAAATTAACAGTTTATCTAGGATAGGTGATTTAATAATTGAACTGCAGTCAAAGAGTACATGTCAAAGCAAGTCAAATCATATTACAATCAACCTCACAGGGTAACAGAATAAAATTTATACAACACACACAAATACATACATACACACACATTTTTAAATGCTTATATTTGGAAAATATATATTTATAACATACCCCATACAGTCATCCACACACACATATACAAAACAAATATATTCACACCTATAAACCACATTTTCATACTGTAAAACTAGAGATAGAAAACAGTTGATTCAAATTCTCTGAAAGGAATGATAAACAGAACAAAAACACTGAAACTAAGGAGTGAAGAAGGAAATATAAAATATCTATCTACAGCAATTCAATTTATTTCCCATACAATCATGCTTAAATGAGCTGTTTAGTTTAGCATGGCTAGACTCAGAAATTCTGGAAGTTAAAAAGTAATTATTTTTTAAAGAAAAAATATGCTGTTAAGAAGGATAATTATTACACAATGGAATACTACTCAGCCATAAAAAAACAATGAAATAATGCCATTTGCAGCAACATGGATAGACCTCGAGATTATCATACTTAGTGAAGTAAGTCAGGCAGAGAAAGACAAGTATCACATGGTATCACTTATATGTGGAATCTAAAATAATGATACAAATGAACTTATTTATAAAACAGAAACAGACTCACAGGCATAGGAAACAAATTTATGGTTACCAAAGGGGAAAAGGTGGGAAAGGGATAAATTAATAGCCTGGGTTTAACAGATATGCACTACTATATATATTGATAAAACAGATAAACAAGGTCCCACTATATAGCATAGGGAACTATATTCAATATCTTGTAATAACCTATAATGGAAAAAAATCTAAAAAAGAATATATATATATTTATGTAAAACTGAATTACTTTGCTATACACCAGAAACTAACACATTGTAAATCAACTATACCTCAATGTAAAAAAAAAAAAAAAAGGAAAGAGAGAGAGAGAAAAAAAGGATAATTATGTGAAAATCACAAAGAATGTGTTGGGCATAAAAGAAATTATCTGAATAAAATTTATTCTAACCAGGGCCAGAAATGAACTATCATGGACAGCAACATGAACAATATTTTGGGCTTTTGTTTTAAAAAAAAGTTCTTGCATGTAATGTCAGTCACTTAAAACTGAATAGGGAACTAGTCTAAGTTTCCTCTTAAACGTTAGATAAGTAAGGTGAAATGGAATAATGCTAATCTTAGAGCAGGGAAAAAACGATATGAATACTGTTAAAATTCAGTAAAAATTTTGCTTCTAGCCTTAAACAACTAAAAAATAGACAATATATATAAAACTTCTGTTTTTTTGCGGTACGCGGGCCTCTCACTGTTGTGGCCTCTCCCGTTGCGGAGCACAGGCTCCGGACGCGCAGGCTGAGCGGCCAAGGCTCACGGGCCCAGCCGCTCCGCGGCATGTGGGATCTTCCCGGAGCGGGGCACGAACCCGCGTCCCCTGCATCGGCAGGCGGACTCTCAACCACTGCGCCACCAGGGAAGCCCTAAAACTTCTTTTAACATACTGAGTATCAGGCAAAGAAGGACAATGCCTGATAGGAAAAAAAGAAATGAGGGGAGCCCTACCTGGAGAGATTAGTACCTCGATAGAGTTTTTAGTCTGCGCAGCAAGAGAGAACCTGAGTGGAATCCACTTGGATCTCTGAATTGAGAAGATAGAGGTGGGAGCCCTAGAAGTCCAGGGGGTTAGAATTAGTGGGCAGAATATCAGAGAGAAGAAAGCTGCTGAGAGAGAACTCAGATCTGTAGAGGATCTCTCTCCAGTTTCCAGTACTAATGAGAACTGATCAGCACACATATTTGGGGAAATACCTAGGGACAGTGTAGTGGGTTGATTCATGTCTCCCCAAAGTTCATGTCTATCAAAAACCTCAGAATGTGACTTTATTTGGAAGTAGGGTCTTTGCCAATGTAATTACAGTTAAGGTGAGGTCATACTGGATGAGGGTGGGCCCACTATTCAATGACTGAGGTCCCTATACAAAGAAGAGAAAATACAGAGAAACAAACATGGAAGAAGGCCAGGTAAAGATGGAGCAGATTACAGTGATGCAGCAACATTCCAAGGAATGTCAATACCAGAAGCTAGGAAAGAGGCACAGAAAAGATTCTTTCCCAGGGCCTTCAGAAGGAACCAACTATGCCTGACACCTTGATTTTGGACTCTGGCCTCCAGCACTGTGAGAGAATAAATTCCTGCT